GTGCGCACTGCCTTCCCATACCCAACTGCATTTCGTGCATACACCTTCACACTATATGTTGTATTCTCCTTAAGATCCTTGGTTAAGCAATACGTCGTTTTGGTGATAACCTCTCTCGGTGGAATTGTGTTGATTTGGACTTTATACTCTATGACAGGGCTCCCTCCATCATCAACGGGACTGTCCCAATTGATCACTGCAGAAGTTGCTTTGATGTCAGAAACGAAAACATTCGCTGGTTCTACAGGGTCTTTTGAAGAAAAAAGTAGCGATGATAAACAAAGATGAATATTAGCAGAAAGAGTAATAATGATAAGGCGTTGATGGTAATATCAGCGGTGATGGTCAGCGTCGATTGGAAGGCCCGTCTGTCATTCAGTCGACCTTTTTTGTATGAAAGGATAGTTACATCCCAGTGATTTTAATACAATATTATGCAAAGTCATCAAAAAAAATGAAATATTTACATTTTACTGAGATTTCGGTCGTCGTTGTAACGGGATCCTCGTTTGGATTATTCGTAGCCTGACACTCGTATGTTCCAAGTTGGTGTCTCGTGATGTTGGTGAATCTGAGAAATGCTTCACCAACTCCATCACTGATAATTTTTGGATTCTTTATAGTTCGTACACACGTTACGTTGGGCATAGGATCTGCTGCTGCTGAACATCGGATGCACAGACTTCATCCCTCATTGATAAGCGTCAATATATTAACAGGAGTAGTAAAGCGAGGACGTTCTGGATACAACAAATTAATTAATCATTAGCTGAGAGCTATTAAAATATTAGTCTAGTATTAGCGGTCCAATTAATTAGTGAATATATTGATTATAAAATTTCAAGCATCCTTAAGTATATGCCATTTGGTATGGAATGCAGTCAGTTAGTGTACCGATATAGGTCTTAATGGTTTGTCAGCTATTTGTTTAGCGATTAACGTTTTGTTGTGAACCAAAGAATGTGTACCTTACCCGTAACAACCAGTTGTACTTTACTTCTTATTGGTGATCCCGCTAATAACAGCAGATTACATTCATATAGCCGTTCATCAGCTTTGGTGACATTAGAGATGACAAGAGTAGCAGTGGACTCTTTACTGACTCGACTACGCAGTTTTGGGGACATTGTTTGCTTATAACGAACTTCCATCCATTGTAACCATCCTCGACGCCTATAACTATTCTAAATCCACTTGTATTATACAGAGCCCACTCTGGTGAATATGGATCAAACATTGCAGTTCTAGTTCCGACGTTGTAATCCCACACAATTCTCGCTGTACCTCCACTGGACACGTAGAGCACACTTGGAGGTTCTCGATTGAACCATTGAATACCTATTGAATATCATGTATTCATATCATCCGCATGAAACAAAT